CCCAGTATGGAGACCGACACGAACCTTGTCACCCCGAGTGAACCGCATGGTAGTCATCTCCATTGTAGTCCTCGTCCGTCTTAGTGGAACCTTGAGTTACAACGATTCGAATCTTACGTATCAGACTGGTTTTCCAAAAGTGAACCACAGTTCCTAGTGATCGTGATTGTTAGACCTATTACTGTGACAGCCGGAAGAATGGGGTGCTTACCGTAATCACGAGAAACCACAGTTCAAACCGGAATAAAGTGCCCCGATCGCGGACTCCGAATGAAGAAATCAGTAAGTTTCGTCCAGTAGGATATGAATCATATTTTCTTTGACAAGTTTACGCATGATAACACTCTAGACGAAATCCGTAAGGCCTCAGAGATTAAGAGTGATATCGAACCGGACGACTGCCAAACTGACCTTCACTGACTTACAACGTTGTTCCACCTTCCGAATAATGTGTTACCGGATCTGGGATAGCACGTAATTATATTTTAATTGTCATAAGGCATCCTGCGGTATCATGGGAACTATCAATCGGTTTCCACCTATCATTCAACGTCGACTTAGGCATGTCAGATTTCACAACTCAATCAAGCTGATTGACAGCGTTTAAAGCACGACAAGATCGAAATAAAGGAAACGAAAGTTAGAAGAAAGTACTTTTATCCTACACATGCTCACACAAAGCTTGCTCGGATAAGTCTGAGATGATCATTTGCATTTCGTGGCGATCTTTTCCAACCCACTCCCCGTCCAGCATCATGGATCTTTGTACGACAAAGTCCAATTGAATTCCACGAAGATACTTGTGTGTGTGTGATAGTGTATTCTTTTTTGATGATAAAAGCGGTAGAGCGAAACGAGAAAGAACTGTTTCAAATAATCAACCAATTCTTGTCGCAGAGCTGCGTGCACTCTAAATACCTGTGACCAATTTAACAACGATGATGTATGCCCAAATGAACACGAATACAGTCGGCACATGCCCTTTTGCTTCTCTTCCACGTTGCCTAGTCCGTTCAAGGGGAATGAACGCGAATCGAGCAAAAGAAGCGTCTTTCCATTTGTAGAACGCATTTGGTGCGCATATCAGAACGACCGGGCCGAAGGCGATCACGATAAGGATGACAAATTGCGAGAGAACTATCTAATTGTAAACTGTGATCCCGAAACACTGAACTGTTTTAGAAACTTTATAATAACAGAGAACAGTAATTGTAGCACTTTGGATACGTTTTGCAGACGACATTACCGTATAAACTGTCCTTGAAAATTTTAGCATACAGACAGACAGGCAGAGGTACTGCACATTGAAAGTAAACAGCCAAGCCAATACAAATGAACCTAACAGGACAAGTGTCACCAGAGTGATCAACTGTGTATAACGCGTGCACACTCACGTATATCAAATAGAGCTCAATCATTGTATATGTTTTGCACACACGTACGCACAAACAAAAACAGTGAGGCATTTTAGTTTCCCTGTGAGTGACAAAGTTTAGCAGCAAAAACGGCTGAGCACTAGAACAGAAAAGTATGCTACTGATTTTGAGTGCGAAAGGTCAAGTACTGTCTATGTCGCAGTTTGGCGCACATACTCTAACAGGAATTGTGGGTGATGCGTATTAGACGATTCAAGTTAGAACAAAAATTGAATTAAATGGATGAGAAACAGTTGCAAAGGGGAAATCACTCTATACTGATGATGTCCTAGCAGCACAAACCGTTGTTATTAGTGTGTATCAATTAGACAGGGTCCGATTTCGAACACGATCATTTCTTCAGCACTTTGATGTTCGACATTTATCAAACCTATCCCATCAAAATTTTATGTGGGTCTTCACTTTGCTGTCTGACGCGATAACAATACGCATCGTTTTGTGTGGAGTCCATCGAACAGTTCGTCAAACAGTAGTGCCAGTACAGAATTGGCAAAAAAACGTGCGAAGACAGATAATCGGCTTTTTTGCCAATGATAACTCACCTGGAAATCAAACATGCTGTTTTTGTCACAGCACCGCAGTATTCTACAATCGATGATAATGGTCTAGCGTTTCAACGGCTTTAAACGAAGTATATCGGAGTTTAATCTTCGAAAGTGAAACCCAGGTATTCGACTTCTGTCGCAGGTAGCTCAGCTGTCGATCAGCTCAAAACCACATTCATCCCAATAGAAATTTATATGATACATTACTCTCACTTTCACTGTGATAGAGGAAACTATGGAAAAAGAACAGCGATTCCACCATTTGGACAGCCACATCTATCCTGGAGAATGTCACGAATGAACTGCCGTCATGCATTCAAAGGGTTCGATGGGCAATTGCCAACTCGTGACGTTTATAGCACCACCGTGACAATCGGTTGTTTATTAGAGGTGGAATGTGTGCAGCGTCTGTGCGGCTGGTGTTGCTGTCGGGTGCTAAGATATGACATTTACGAGAACAAAACCAAGACAGATTAGAGATGTTCGAACACTACCTTCTACGTCGCGTTGCTCGAGACTGGTGTGGCAACCGGAGAAGCAATAACGAGTGTAGGTGGATCAAGTGCTCCGTCTCCTTAAATTACGTTAACCTGGACGTGTGTTACGCACGGCATCAAATACGCTGCCTCGGTGTGACATTTGCCGGGGCAAGTCGTGAATGGAAAAAGATTAAAGATGGTGCAGAATTCGATTGTTGCACTGCAAACTAAACCCCTATTGTTGTTGTTTAACCGCATCATCTGCCATTCGAATTCACGAGTCAATATCCGACATTCGAAAACAGGCGAACAGTGGCTCTCTGTAGGGTTAGCGGACATTTGCCCCGAGTCCTTACAAAACGCAGACGATGTTGGGAGTTAGCTGAGTGAGGTCA